CCCCCCCTCCCTCCCTGGATGCCACAGACGTATGGGCCGCCGGCTGTATCTTCGGAGAAATGCTGGGTCGCAAGCCCCTCTTCCCGGGCAATGACTACATCCACCAGCTGAAGCTCATCACCCGCATTGTCGGGACTCCAACCTCGGAGGCCGACCTCTGGTTCGTCAAGAACCCCAAGGCCAAGGTCTTCATGCTCTCTCTGCCCCCCTCCCCGCCCCAGGACCTTACCAAACGCTTGCCAGGGAGCGGGTCCGAAGCGCTTGACCTCTTGGGACGGATGCTTCAGCTCGACTACAGCAAGCGAATCTCGGTAGATGCGGCCCTCTCCCACCCGTTCTTTGCCTCCGTGCGGGACGAGGCTATGGAGTACGTTTGCCCGACCCCCGTGCCATGGGGAGACTTGGAGCAGTGCAAGCCGACCTGTGGGAACCTGCAGAGGGCCATCTGGGAGGATGTGGCCGCCTTCCACCCGGTGGCAAAGGAGTCCCTGGAGGCGCAACGGGGATTTCCGGGGTGGGAGGGGCACGGGCCGGGAGTGCGGGAGGTCGACAGTGTCAGGCAGTGCGGGCGGCGGGCGCTCAGTGAAGCAGACCGCATGTTGGAGTCCTCCTTGGCCCCGGGACAAGGAGCGGAGTTGGAGATGGCGGTGGAGCTAGAAGGCAGCCGCCTCCAGAGGGAGAGTAAAGGGGGGATGGCTTTTGACGGCCGAGGTGTTTCGACAGTACTAGGAAAACCTGATAACCCTGGTGGCGAAAGTCACGGTGAGGCGGTGGCTCAGGCGCCTCGCGTCACGTCCATGGTTGTGGAGTCGCATGCCTGAGTGAGCAAGCTTCACAAGGCCAAGACGACCTTATTTGTGTATAGTAGATAAGAAAATAAAGAAATTTTCTCAGTGTAGATTATCTAGCGTCCGTTAATGTAGAACTCTGGCGGAAAGGTGAGCAGGCTGAGATGTGCAAGCAAATTGCCATTAGCTTCTTTCGTGGTTTTCTTTTCTGTACATTTGCGCTGTATAGATCATCACGCCATTACAATCTGCTGCATTTTTTCCTTATCAGTGAGGTCCAACCTTTGAAGGATCAGTGGAGGAAATCTTGGAGCCCCTGCTCTCATCAAAGCCTTTCGCTTGTCGAAACACCTCTTCTGGAGATGGCAGCAATCTGTGTGTGCTTGACGAGCTTTCCGCAGCCCTGAACATTTTTTTCTTCTGACTGTCTTTGGCACTCGAATCTGTGTCTGTAAGGGGTGCTGAACCTGCTCCAAACGCGGGTGGCTGCTGAGTTTTGTCTGAGGCAAAGTGTTCCAACATTATCTCTCGTTTGGCCGCGTACTCCTTGACTATGGCTCGAACACCTGCCGCACGACGCTGCAACAGATCCTCTTTGTGCTTACTGACCTCATCCAATTGTCGTTGCACATCTTGACGTCGAGCTTTGACTTGCTCGAAAGTATTTTTCCCAGTTGCCTTCAGGACCGCGCGCGCATCTGCCACTACTTCCTTCAACATTTTTCCCGATGTGGTGTTTCCCATTAGGACGCCAAAAGGCAAAGCCAAAGCTTTACCGCTCTCCCCGTCACTCACTTCGCACTGCCTGTTTGATGCACGTGCATACTTATGCATGATGACGGTGTATTTCTTCTGCAAGCGGAGCATGGTCTCGGTGTGTGCGCCCTGGCGTGGACATGAGGGAGGTCACTCGGCGACAACTTGTAGGTGACGAGGATCTGCCTGGCGCCCGTCCGCGTTTAAAGCTATCCTAAAATCTGTATGTGCAACCCATCGGCAAGCCTCTTCACCGCCGCCATCATCCTCACACATGCATTCACTAGCACGCCTGCACTAACGCGTTTAAACACAGGCTTGCGGACCAGGGAGGACGAGACTCGGGTGTTGTCTGGCGCCCCTCTAGGAGCGTCTGCCCTGTCCTGCCGGCTTGAGAAGCCAAGGTCTTCATATCTCCAAGTCGCCACGTTCGTTCAGACCCCCTTTGCCACTTCGTGAGCTTCGTGTTGCCATGCCGGGACCTAGACCGACGAAAGTACTGACTGTTCGTGAGCTGCAGATGGCTAAACGCATGTTGAAACCCAAGAAGGCGGCTGCCTGCCAGCGGGAGCTCAATGCCTTGTTGACAGCCATGGAGCGCAAGGAGAACGGGGAGGCGAATGTGAACATCAGGATGCTGCAAACTGCCTTAGAGCACTGTTTGCACCAGGCGGTGAGTACCTCATATAATGGAGAAGAGGGAGTTAATAGAGCAGCAAATGTCACTGTGTCCGCCGCCCTGCGCTTATGTCTAATCATGAATTCAAGTTGCTCCTCGCGGTGGGTGGAATATTGCCTGTATGAAATCTTCCGGCCTGGTTCCACTGAGAGAGGGCTTCGACCTGTTTGGTTCATGCATGCTCGAATATGGCAGAAGGAGGAGACGATTCTCTCCTGACAGCCCTCTTGGTGTGAATAGTACCACGATCGCTTCCTGCGACACTAGCGCTTGGACATTTAAAGGGTGGTTACGCTGGTTTTAATGGCTTCCAACGCTTATTTTCATATTTTTTTGGAGGTGTGTCTGTATGTGTGTACAGCAGATAGTTTGTATGCTTGCACACAAAAATATCCGATAAATCACAAAATACATATGCTGTTGCTCATAAATTTTCAATCTCTTCTTCCTGTTTTTCTGGGTTTCTCTGCCCATTGATCATCTGTTTGACAGGAGCAGGAAAAGAAAATGGCAGGCCCACCGCTCGGTCTAGGTGTTTTGGCCCGAGCAACGAAAAAGAAGCGGTA